TTCATTTGACCGGAAGACCCACAAAGATTTTGACTTGTTTCCACTATTATATGTAAACATACAACGAATACATTTGAGCCAATTAACGTATAGTTTTTTGGGAAAGACCACAATAGTGTTTATCTAATTATTGACGACCCTTTTCCCAAATAAATTCTGTATTTTAAGTGGCTTGATGGAATTTTGTAGAATAACATTAAACATAAGGAATCATGAACACACTGATAAACCTTATATTTGTAAGACTCATAACGATGAGTTGACGACCAGCAAATCACCCTTGGAAGTTCCCTAATGGTACAAGAAATCTATATGATAAATTCTAGCGTTCACACCATGAAATAACAGTAGCAACTTTTCATACCGAAGTAAAAGTGGAATGCAGTAAGTACTTGAACAATGACCGTCCACATATTTGTGAGTAGAACTTTGACAACTTATAAGTGTTAGTTGTTACCAAAAGTATTTGCTACAGTGATGCTTTCCCAACACTCAGAGTCTAAGTGTAAATTGCATGATGATAAGATCTAATCGACAACAACTATTTGACTTAATATAAGGGGTCGTACCGCGAATTTATTCCTGAGCTGTCAGCTAACAGAACTTTTATACCGCTACAACTTGAAGCCTACATCTGATAAATGCAAAATTTCGAAGTTTATGAGGTTGCTGAAGCCCAATAGTGCGTTGTGGATAGGTCCATATTTCTTCTGAATGGTATTCATCACATGATCCAGTAACCCTCAAGATGCTTGTTGATGAGAAGCATTGTCTTGAATCTCGAAGACGGACGACTTTAGCACAGCAGAAATCTTTTAAAAATAAGTAGTCTGATAATAATATGCTTAAAGATGCTAAAACATGGTGCGGAATGGGATTTATACAGGAATGACAGAGATAGCTAGGAAAGTTTCTAAAGTAGTACTACAAAAACGCAACTAACTTCACCATTTGTATAATAAAAAACTTATCTCTACTTTTAACGCGATATAATTAGGGAATCTTGCTGTCAGTGACTTAACAACCATCTTGAAATTTCATCAAATACGGAAATTACTCCCAACATTTGAGTCAACATAAAGTTGGGCTCACCGAGTATACACTGATTGTGTTGAACATCGTTTGGACTATACTCTGATTCTCTATAATTGATCGTGTATCTGGTATAACACGATCCAGTCTGTATGCAGCCTATCGACCGAGTATCTAGTTTGGTGGCAGGATAATTTTAGTTGTCAGGCGCGTTGTAGTATGTCATGCTAAATATAAAGTATTTTTATTCTCGTGTTATATTTGAGAAATTATTACAAACGGAATGAATATAACTGAGTGGGCAATAACTTTTTGTATTATATTTGACAGATCGTCACCAAAGTCAGGAACATGTCAATATTGCAGGGGAATAATTCAAAATAATATTATCTTTGTGAACAGGTTTGTCTGTTTATCGACCATCAGTATCACACGTAAAGCATCCTCACCACCATTTCCACACCAAATATATGCTGCTACGTAGATTAGTGAAAATAGCTAAAGTTGTTCACGCTGTACATTTTTGTTTTATTTCACCACATTTAGCTGGATGTTATTAAGTTAATATTTAAAATCACCTTCCAGTTTCTTTGACAGTTTATCTTGATATTAACTTAGACCTTCGGAAACATGTTACTATTGACCAGTGATCCGTAAATTAAGACCCTAGATACTTAGTAAGCTTTTGGCTTTAGGTTAACTAAATTATTTTGTTTTCTCAATAATTAAGAAAAAATCACAGAATCTACATGCGTATCTCGAAAATATATAGCCATTAATGTTACCAGGGACTACTCGCTGATAAAACAAGTTATGATCCACCTGAACAGTATAACACTAGCAACCGATTACATTCAAATGTTTTGTCGTTATTGGAGTATTACCTATAGGGCCACTTACATAACCAACAGTGAAAAAGGTTTGTTGCTTTAGTGAGATGATAATAACAGAACATCTGATACAATTCTGTCATATGTATATTGTTTAAATGAATGTAGAAAACTTTCTACCTTAGAAAGAGGCTTGATCACAAACCAGGTAAAAATAATTTTCTACAGATTGCCTGTAAAATACGCACAATATTTTTTACCAGTTTCAATTACAACTTAATCCATAAAGCAGTAGTTCAAAGATAATAAGAAACACTAAATCCGGAGCTCTAGCTATTATAAAGAACCAGATAGATACCGAATTTGTTCAACAAATTATTTACTGGGTTTTTTATCCGATACCAAGAAAGTTCATTACTCTTAAGCATATAGAAAAGTAATGAAGTTAAATCCCCTGAACCAATGTGACAGTCTCAAGAAATAAAATGCCTCAACTAATCGATGTATTTTCATTTTAAAAATTGGACGTAAATAAAATCAGAACGATACGTGTTTTTCTTATCGTCATAATAATTGTAGCTTACTTTGTTGAAATATCAGTAATAAATTCTCAAAAACTATCACATAAAAGGGACAATGTTCCAATCACTATAAAATACATTTTTGCACTGTAAATTAAAAGTTAAAACACCGTTTTAAGATTTAGATATCAACTCCAAGTGATTTTAACGCTTGCTTCAAGTATTTCACGGTTGTTTCTCTATCCTGATAATTTGATGCACTCAATGCACATTTGATATCTTTTTCTACATTCAACCAATTTCTTGTTGTAATATTATTATCAGATGCAGATGGATCAGGACTAGGTGGTTGTTTAGGTATGCAAGTGGTGGGGACTTCATGAGGTTGTTGATTTGTTTCATTGTTGCAGAGATTGTTTGTATTTGTTAGTCCAGAAATATCTACACAAGTAAAATTATTTCAAATGAAAACTTAAATGTTATAAAACTATCTGTCGTACTGCCTAAGTAGAATTTTGTGAAAGGTTAAATTACCACCTAATTTTCCGAATAAAAACAAACACAATTCCATAATTATTTACAATTCTAGCTATACGCCAATACATCCAAACTAACGAGTAGTATGTTTACTTCTAATCCTACCTTCAATCATATCACATTGCACTAAACACTTTCAAAAATGTAAGCATTTATTGTATTAGAAATTGCACTGCTATCCTGAAGGTTAATTACTGATCAATATGTACAAGTTGGAAACACTATTATTATTATTATTATTATTATTATTATTATTATTATTATTATTTTGTTAACGTTTTCTGAGAACAGGGTAATGTTATCTTCATATCCAAAAGATTATGGTTGACAAGCCCCTTAGAGATTACATCGATCATCACAACTTTCCGACATAAATGCTTCACACATGTAAAAAGTCTATCTAAACCTTAAAACATTTTGTCACTACAACAACAATCTTTAACAATTTTCCTAAATAACCAAACAATAAAAAAATTAATTAAATATTCAGAACTTTCTTCTTGTATGTACCGTTATGAATTCTCTTATTGGCTATACATAAATGTTCAATAATCCCAGTCTAAGAACTTAATCGAATGACAAGTTAATTAGTTCCAAATGGCTTGCATTATCGTCTTAACAGTACGGCAGACGAATAAGAAATGAACACCCTGATAATAAAAAAAGTGAAGTAAGACAGGGCGGTTATTTCAAGATTGTAGTCTAGACTAGTTTAAATAAGGGTAATCAGCCTTCTGGCAATATTAACATTAAATAAAATCAGTAATTATCTCACTAAGAAATTAGAAAAAGACGATGAAAGTGGATAAGGCATACATTGAGGAAATTATCAAACTGCATCACAAGGCAAGCGCCAACTCGGAATCCTGAAGGGAAACAGAAAAGAGGAAGACAAAGGAACACATTGTGTCGAGAATTGGAAGAAGTGAGAAGGATGAATAGCAAATGGAAGGAATTTCCCAGGACAGAGGTGGATGGAGAATGCTGATGGGCGGCCTATGCTACTCCACGAAAGGTACCAGACGTAAGTAATTGTAAAGACACAAACAAATTAGAAAGTAATGGTTACAGAAAGCAAACATATCTACATACTAATAAATCACTTTATCCTACATTCGTTATGTATGTAGTATAACCAATATAATCTCACTACTTAAAATTAATACTTGTCACTAGTTGGCCTCGTCACGTGAGGGTAATGTTTTACTCTCTTATAACCTTCTTATGTCCTTTAGGACAAAGCATATTGCAGGAGGTTATACTCCTGTCCCAATACAAAAAATATGTCATTAGTGATATGCTTAGCGAAGAAGATAATGAGTTCTTATATTCGAACTAGGTGTAAGTATAGAACAAATCTGAGCCATCAAGTAACATTTAATAGGTGAGAAACGAGAACTAAGATGTTAAGAAAACATTTTACTAAGAAAATATTTACTTAATATATTTGGGGGTTCCGACTTAATAGCAATTCCGTATGCGACACCAACCTTCCAAGATCAGTGAGGCAAAAAGCTATTTCCAGAGGAATGTTTTAAAAGTTGAATAGATATAGAGAAAGTATATGAATCGGATAAGTAGAATCATCAGAGTGAATATGGTAATCAACTTTCCATACGTTATCGCACAAATATAAACGTTGAAGTCTTCAAAAATTGATATCCATATTTTACTTAATAAGATAATAATATTATTTACAAAGCAGTGAAACAATTACATACAACCCTATTGTTCGTTAAATATATTGATAACAGCATTATTTAACTTTGCTTAAAGCATAGTCAGTCAGTCAGTAACAACGTAGAACTTCGTACGTACGTAAAGCATAAGTTGGTGAATTTTAAAGTCTACATGACCAGTGAAAAAATATTCAAACTAAAATACCATAAATCGAACATGACTGAATCAGTTTAAGTAAACTTGAGGTGTATTTATGTTACACATCAATGTGAATTATAAAGAAAGTATCGTCAAGAGGATTTGTGAAGAAGGGAACTTATCATGAACTGATGTTAGTCCACTAAACCATAACTTTGTGTTGATTGGCAAGTAGCTTCGAGATGAATTCTCAGACGTCGTGATGTGGGACTGCGATCTATGAGGTCAACTGAACTATGAAAAAACAGAGACTCCCTGATGACATTAGATGAAGATTGAGCTATTGTACAAATTGATTGAACATGAAAATATAAACCAATGAATTATGGTTCCCCATTTTGCTGTAAAGCCTCATGGTTAAGGGACAGATTCAGAGTAGGATTACGGTAACATATTGCTGAATAGTTTTAAACCGAAAGAAATCCACTGTTTAGTGCTCCCAGGTTTCGAGAATTTCTCTAAAATACGTCCATTAGTGATGGAAATTACCTTTGAATATTTATGCACGTGCATAATTCAAATGGGTATGAATTTTAATACGCAGTTATTTAAATATATGAAACTAGACACACAAACTACTAGTACAAATTATTTATTCTTATGTATACTCAAGAAAGCTAGTGAATGCCATCAGAATGTCACATATAAAAATTGTTCAACAGGCAGAGAAAACGAATTCTTTAGTAAAAACCAGTTGGTTTGAGTTAGAAAACTGAAAAGCTGTAATCACAACTAGTACACGTCACATATAATGTTATTGAAATAGGTTAAAGAGTAGCGCTTTTGTATCTGGACCAACTAAAGAGCATGAGTTCCGTTACAAAAATGAAACTACTACGGTTTAGACACAAAAAGTAAATGAGTGTCAAATAAGGTTCCCTTACAAGCAATCAAGAAAATCTACTGATATGCAACAAAGTCCTAAGCAAACAATTCAATTATTATACATACAAAAGAATAACGTACTTGGGGTGTAGGCAGCTTCAGTGTTAGCACTAGGACCACCTACTGGAACTTCGCCAGATTTCAAGCATTTGCTGATGTAAACGGCCTTCCATTTGGCATACTTCCTGGTCTTTTCGATCTATCATTAGAAAAAAGTATATCACCGGATGAGTAAATGATAGCTCACATCATCACCTACTTCTCCAACTCCAGAAACAACGTCTAAGAGTGTAGCAGCTGAAAGAAATAGTTTTACAGTAGCACTTAAGCCTGTTAAAAGATCATATCATACGTACGGTCCGAAGTCGGAGTTTATATCCCTCTGGTAAGCAGCATCAAACAACTTGAGGGCATACTGTTCAACATAAGGAATCCCAACAGTTTCATTCGCAATTTCTTCACAGTTTGAATTACTCCTCTTTAATTCTTCTAACTTATCCATGAGAGTTGTCAAAAATGCCTTGATAGGGGGTGATTTTTGAATCATACTTAAACCTTTTTGAAATGCATGCAGGAGACCTGAGGAATCATATGTTGAGACTAATTGAAAAACTTACAGTAGTATGTGATAGTGGGGTCTTTCGCCGAGTGATCCGAAGCACATCTTAAGAACACGTTCAGATGGGAGAGTTCTTTCGGTACATTTGAAAAATTCATTATTTACAGCTGGAACTGGTAATGCAAGGGGGATTGTGACTGTGTAATCGGAAAAAATTAGGGTTTTATATATCAGAGAAATGTTATTTAGACAACACTGGGGATGAAACTAACCCGCATCTATTCCCGAGGTAAAAGTAATGACAGAATAAAGTAATAAGATCTTTAAAAAACCCAGAGATATTATTTCAATACGATATGAAGCGAACTAAGAATTGGAAATAATACTAGTTTTTGATTTCAGAGAACTGAATAACCTAAATGAACACAAAGGGAGAATGAACTCAAGGGTAACATGAAGGCAATTGCCCCCAAATGCCCTGGTATGGCCGAGAGTGGGGTGGGCTCGCCCTCCCTCTCGAGGACGTTAGACGACTCTTTGTGTTCGATCATCGTTGTCTCCAAAGGATTGCTGACATCTAGTGGCAACACCATGTTAGTAATGCAGAGGTTCGGCATCGTGTGTTCGGGCACAGAGACGATAATGCAATCGGTGTCACCATCTTGAAACACCGACTTCGGTGGCTTGGACCTGTTCTACGAATGTCGTCCCAGAGAATTCCACGTTGTGCATTATTTGCCGACTCTGGGACTGGTTGGAAGAAGCGGAGAGGTGGTCAGTGTATGACATGGAGTCGTGGGATGAAAGAAAGCTGCAAAGGACTGGCTTCTGTTGGTCCTTCACGACTCCCTGGCTGGGGTCCGAGAGATGGTGTGACACAGTGGCTAGAGATGTTATCAGATATGGCTCAGAATAGAAGCCAGTGGCGATCCTGCTGTAACCTTTTACTTTCTTCATAAAAAGTGGTTGTGTCTCCCTTAACTGAAAGATTTCTTCTGATTGTACCTGTCTGTTCCGCCATTTTTACCATCGTTATTATTACACCACTCTACATCAATCTCTTTTTTTCTCCTTCCCCTTAAATTCTCATTGTTTTATGTGGCGCATATATATTTGGCGCATTCTTGTACCAATATTTATGTGTTCAAATAAATCAATAAATCAATGCTATATTGAGTGAAGTGACATTTGGTTTCGTTGGAAAAACTTACGGCAGAATTTGCCGTTATTTATTTAACCACATAAACATTGATACAAGGGGGCACCAAACATATATGGGCCACACAACTCATTTGATTTGTGTGAGGTCTGGGATACTGCCCGGGCGTTACAGGGCTACCAAAAAGTACGTAAAATTACTGAAGAATCTTTACTTAAATGTCGTGAGTTGACTCAGATTTTATGATAAGTCATTTGGAATGACCACATTAAGTGGTATAAGTCAAGGGTAGCAACGTTCTCCGTTACAGATACACTTAGAAAATGATTCGCACGACTTTTTGGAGACTAAACTCTTAAACAAAGCCAGAACAAACATAGATACAGGATAATATGAATTTAAGGTGTCGTGGTTTCTCACCGGATGCTTACGACCCCTTACCTGTAATCTCATCTAGCGATTTAGAACATTTTCTTATTGCGCAAAGGATTCAATACAACTACCATGCAAAGTACTAGGAGATATGTTATGTACCCAGTAAACACACCTGGAAATAAGCTGGAGTATTAAATAATAATCCAGTGGCAATGCTTTCTGACTTTACAGCAAAAACAAGATTTAGTATCTGCCTGAATGCAATCCGTATACTGAATGTTTGTGATACTAAATTATAATCCGTGAATCATATGTTGCATCACCTACGTAAGTGGTGGTACTAGATAAGTCTCCGTGACCACGTGGCATCGTTATACCTTGCAAGGTCTGACCTAAAGCTTAAAATATAAACTTTTGCCCAGCTTCCGAGTATCAATACGAGATGGAACTTCCCATATCAACTTATATATGGACTAAGAACCATAACAATGCGTACAGATGATCGTGATGTCATAGGAAACCCATCCATTCGAAAATAATCGCGTTTTCATATCTTTAATGGTGGTAGGGTATGAGAAATGGAGATCCTTAAAAAGGGAAGAAACATCAATGAATGAGTTTTCTATGACAACCAGACGAAAGTTATTATCCCTTCTTACACGAATACGTGTGACTAATATATCTTATTATGAACCAAAGAAAATCGGCGTGGTGACAAGCAACAAGAATAGATAAGCATTTAAAATCTATGAACATCTCTAAACACCGCAGATCTTTATGGTAAATACTTTGAGGAAAAAACACACAACGCACCTGACACAGAGGCGCGCTTTTCAATGACCAATATCCCAAACAGACTTGATTAAGCTGATAAGATTTTGAACCAATTCTGGTTGTTCTAGTAAGATAAAAGGTCTTTGATAATGCCTAATGGGCTGTGGCCTGGCCATTCAACTGATAGTGTTTTATTTGTTTTCAGTGTTATTTGTTACGAATGCCTGTTACCTTTCGTGGAGCAGCATAGGCCGCCCACCAGCATTCTCCATCCACCTCTGTCCTGGGAAATTCCTTCCATTTGCTATTCATCCTTCTCACTTCTTCCAATTCTCGACACAATGTGTTCATTTGTCTTCCTCTTTTCTGTTTCCCTTCAGGATTCCGAGTTGGCGCTTGCCTTGTGATGCAGTTTGATAATTTCCTCAATGTATACCCTATCCACTTTCGTCATCTTTTCTGATTCCCTCTTCAGTTGGAAGTTGTTTTGTTGTCTCCTACAGTAGACTGTTGCTGATGATATGCGGTCAACGGACACTGTGTATCTGGTGTAGACAATTGTTTATAAGTACTTGTACCTTTTTGATGATGGTTGTGGTAGTTCTTCAAGTTTCAGCTCCGTATAGTAGGACTGTCTTGACGTTCGTATCGAAGATTAAGACACCGATACTGGTCGACATTTATTTTACGTACCATATATTTTGTTCAACTGCGAAAATGCTGCCCTTTCTTTGCCAATCCTTGCCTTCACGTTTGCATCAGATCCTCCTTGTTCATCAACGATGCTGACCAAGTCCGTGACTCTTTCCATCTCCTCCAGAGCTTCTCCATCACGTATGACTGGGTCGGTGTTCTTCGTGTTGTATTTGAGGCTTGTGATTTTTCCCTTATGTATGTTGAGGCCAACTGATATAGAGACTTCTGTCACAATGTCTTGTCCTGCATTTGCTCGTGTGTACGGGATAGAAGATCTAAATCATCCACAAAGACCGAATTGTCTAGTTGCAAGCAAGCTGTCTATTGTAACCCGTGCTTCTCGTCAAGTGTCAAGGTCTTCATAATTCAGTCAACCGCTAGAGGGAAGGGAAAGGGTGAGGGTAAGCAGTCCAACGTATGAATTCTGGATGATGTTGATGATTTTATCAAGTACACCATAGTATCGAAGAATATTCCATAGCGTTCTCCTATCCACGTTGTCAAATGCCTTCTCACAGTCAAGAAATTTAATGAATAGTAACCAGTTCCATTCAACTGATTATTCAACACTGACACAGTGTCACGATTTTGTCTGTGCACGACCGATCTTTACGGAATCTGGCCTGTTGACATCGAAGTTGTTCGTCCACTGAATCTTTCGTCCGGCTCAACAACACTGTTGAAAATTTTTCTTGGCTTTAATAGTAGCGTGATTTATTTGTAGTTCTCAAGCTGGTTACGATCTTTCTTTGGTATCCGGACGAGGTATTACGTTTTCGAGTCTGTCGTCACTTATTCTTCCCCATAAATATTTCTGGATATGATACGCAACATATTTGCGGCTAACTCTATATTTAACTTCAGTGCTTCGTTTGGTATATCGTCGGGTCATGTTATTCTCATACCTCTGATGGAGTGACATATATCGAAGGTCTGTCTGTGCTGCTCTGATGTCCGGTGTATTCAGTATAGCTGACCTACTCAAGGGTTTCTCGAATTAACCTACCCAACAGTTTCTCAGCTTTTGAATCTCAGTGGTTGGCTTGCCTTCATTTATATAAACTGATCTTTCTGGTCTACTATATTCCCCCACCGGTTACTTCGTTGTGTCACATAACCATCTAGTATTTTCTCCGCTTGCAGCTTTTCCATATGTCGTTGCTAGGTCTTCTATACATTTCTGTTTGTCAGCTCAGAAGCTCTTCTTTACTTGTTTGTTTGCTTCTGTGTATTCGGTCTATGACTTGACCTTATCCGTTATTGTTCGGCTGTTGTTGATTGCCGTCTCCTTGTTCTTCATTTCCTGAGTCTTTTCCAGGGTTTTCATAAAGGTTAAAAATGCCACAAGTATTTGTAGTTCGAAAACGCTTTAACCAGTAACACCTAATATGAATCGAACCCATCAAATGAAATCAAAAGACAGAAGCGAGGAGGTCCGAAGATATATTTGATACGCTATCAATTTATCGAGGGTCGACTGATCTTGACTGGCTAGCGATTGCAGGGGTTGTTGAGCACGGCGTTCCCACTCGTGATCTGGTGCGGATGCATGGCCGAGCACCTTCAGCTAGGTGAGTCCATTAAAACTAATGTGGCCAGCATTCAATGTCGAGGACTTACAGAGCTATTCATTTTGGGGATTTATCTACCGTTACATGACTCATTCCTTATGATGATGCTTCTTGCAGTTCAGAACCTCCTGAAGCTTTGAAGTTAGAGCTTCTTTGATTCCTTCTCAATTGTCCTCCATAGTAGTTTCTTCTTCTTTCAGTAGATCCGATAAGGCTTTGAGCCTGTTGCTGAGAGCTATCTTGAATTGGTAGAACTTGTCAATATGTCGACGGAATGTTGCATTGGACCTGTGTGATGCTGTTTCAGCATCTGTTCAGTGCTTCCTTAGCCTCATTTTCATCTTGGAAACCACCAGCTAATGGTGGTCTGAAGTTACGTTAGCTCATCTGCCGGTCCTCACGTATTCCATTGATCCTCCGAATTTTTCGATGATGCAAATATGATCGATCTGGTTCTTTGTACTGTGATCCGGTGAGACTCATGTGACTTTATGCGTGCGTTTGTATGGTAAAATGAGGCCGCCTATAACCATCTTGTTGAATGCACATAAATTTGCGAACCTCTCACCATTCTCGTTTCTTTCTCCCAGTCAGCCCATGTCGTCTCATGATATCTTCATATCCTCTGTTGTCCATTCTGACTTCGGCGATTGAGTCTCTTATCAAGATGGTCAGGTCCTTTCCGGAGCACTTCGCTATGATCGATTGCACTTCTCATCAAACTGATTTTTATCGTCGTCGTTGCTATGGTTGGTGGGAGCATAACAATGGATAATATTCATTGTGATATCCCCCGTCTTTGTTTGAAAGATGCTTTGACGATCCTGGTTCCAAGAGATCCCCATCCTATAGGTGCTCTACGAGCTTCTCCTGAAAGCATCAGGGCAACTCCCTCAGTGTGTGCAGCATCTTCTTCGTCACCCAAGTACAGTAACTTCTTTACCGAATCTATCTTTTCCTGTCCACACTAGGTTCAATAGGTTTCACTGATTCCGAGAACCGTCAAGTTATATCTCCGCATTTCCGCAGCTATTTCATTAGTACTCCCAGTCTCCCACATTGTCCGAACATTCCATGTACCTATATTAATTGTTGCTGTGGTTGTTAGGAAGGGATTCTGTCTCGTGACTTCCGAAGGATCTCGGCTTTTGCCATAAGGTGTCATAATTCTTCGGATTGAAGATCCTTCAACTCAGAGATTAGAGTCCAGGTGGCTTAATTTGTTTATTCTGGTTAGCGTATTTTAGCAATGCTGTTTTCTATGGGATGTGGTTGCTGACCCCACTCCCCCCATATATGTGGGCCTGGAACCTGCAGTAACCCCAGAACAGACACGGGCGTCGTTATTTGTGGGTGTGTCTATTCTGTAATCTGAGTTCATTTGACTGAAGGAAGGAGGGATTCTGAATTATGTGTAATGAGGAACCCTATCAGTTGACTGGGATTGCTGTGGCAGTATATCCCTCGATGAGATGGGTGTATATTCTCACCTTGATTAGTTTCTCAACAACGGCGAAAGCAACTATGCTCACACGCTAGGACATCGACGCACCAATAAGTTTTCAGTAGACGCATCCGACTTGGCAAACGGAGGAGTCTTAAAACAGTGGGTAAACAACATGTGACAATCTTCGGCATTCTTCATGAGACGATTGTATGGCACTGAATCGAGGTATAGAACTTTTGGTAGGGAACTCCTAGCCACATTTTGTTCTCTATAGCACTTGCAACACTGAAGAAGGCCGAGAATTTACTCTGTTTACTAATCACAAACCTCTCACCTTCTCTCTCAGCTCTTCAGACAAGTACAGACAAGTACGACCGCCTACCACTCACAAGTAAATGGGTTCGTAGAAGGCTTTCATTCACAGTTGAAAGCTTCACTATCAGCTGTAAACGTTTCACAGTGGACTGACGCTCTTCCGTATGTTTTACTCGGTATTCGCAATTCAGTAGAAGCCGACATTGGATACACTGTAGCATAAATCGTTTACCGAACAACGCTTCAAATCTCAGGAGGATTCGTGAATCCTTCATCAGCTTCAATGAATATGAATCTAGACTGCTACACGAGCATGCTTACAAACTCCATGCGTTCAATTAAACCTGTTTTCATTCGACCACAGTCGTCCAGTGTTCTCATTCAACCTGTCTTACAGCATAGAACACACGCTTTTGTACGCCGCGACCCACTTCGACAACCTCTTGAGATGGCATACGAAGGACTCTTCAAAGTCCTCTATTGTTCACCTATATACTATGTCATCGATAAAAAGGAACTTAAGGTAACGTCAGCATTGTCCGTCATAAAGTCACGGTCTTAGAGGCGAACCCTAATGATGCTGATTATCCAATAGTACACTCGAAGGACGCGAGCCTCAAAATTACGATATCTCACACGACAATCGACAATCACAAAGTAATTTCGGTGGTATCTGACAGCCGGTATAAATACAACGTGCTCTGGAAAAAGGCTAAGGTTTTCAGAGCACTTAAACGATTACCGTATGTTGAAGAATAGTTTCTAGGTGGAATAAATGTGACCAATTCACCACTATCCGTGTAATGCTAAACTCTCTGTAGCTGAGATTTTCGCCAGTGAAAGTTGAGAATATAGGAGACGACAAGTTACTCTGTACTTTGATGCTATGTATATACTACAATTTATCCATATTCCTAAAACGTAATACGCAAGTAGGATTTCTGTGGATACAATAGTGGTCAGGAGGGAAATGTATACGTTGCAAATATCAAAAAATGATTTAAAAATGGTGCAGGACATTGTTTTTCTTGTGACATGTTTTGTCCC